CTCCTAACCTCTAAAAGCGTTTTCGCCAACCGTTCTCTGTGACAACCGAACCAAGCAGCGGCTGCGTCCTCCTGCTCTCATCCGTGTGACGTTGTCTTCGATTCGATATTCACGCGGCGTTCGCGCGTTCGTTCACTTCACTTGCCGCGTAGTGCGTGCGCGGAAATCATCGATATCTGTTTTTCCAAGTGACACACCATCACCGATTGCCGGTATAATATTCGCGGGCGTCGCAACGGATCGTGAAACAAAAGAGATAAGGAAATATATTCTAACCTGTGCCTCTCGTTTGTGTGCTTTGTGCCAAGGATATTCACGTGTGTGTACGATTATTACAACATCGCCGATCTTTCTCAGGGAGCACTACGTTTTTTCCTTTGGATACGATCTTCCTTCGCCTGTGGACCACGTCCTACCGTTCCCACGGTTAGTATACAATGTTTGTTATCAAAGCCGGTTGTCGTAGACGCATGCTGCGCCCCTACGCGACGAATAAAGGTGCTTTCGGCCGATCGGAGTCGAGGCGACGTTTCCTCGTGCGCGCGTGCTCCAAAGTCAATGTGTACATACCCCACCGGTCGGTCGCGAGATTCAAGGGCGCATGTCCAAAGACTGTTCACCCGATGCTCCGTTCAAACTTGAAATGCTTCTCCTTTTATTGTAATTACTTGGTCGTATTCGATAAACCTTCGTCGTATTTTTTCTCTCTCGTATTTCAAGAAAATTTATTTCGCGTTCAAATCGTAATATTCGTACTAATCGTAGATGTCTAGGTCACGATAACTGGTGTCGAACTGCGAAATCAAAATATTTGTGCGAGTCTCTGTTTACGTTGCGCGCCGAGATTCATGGTAGACACGCGCATTCCATTACGCGCCAAAACCTTTTCGACGTTTCATGGCATCGCTTGTATGGAAACGAGTTTTGTGAATTCGTTTGTTCTTTCTGTATTTTTCCATCGATTTCATTTCTTTTTTAGAACTTGTGGATGAATTTTATGCAAAAGTAGACATTTTTTTCCACATGTTTGAATTTTATTATTATCGCGACGTTGCCATCCATACAAAGGATTTCTATTGTTGCGTTTGTTTGCGTAAGAATGGCGCTTAGAAAGCGGATATTTTGTGGAAGCGTAACTTCTGATGTAATTTAAAGTTGAATATAAAATTGTTGACGAAGATTTAATATTTTTATATAATATTATATAATTTGATTTTTTTTATCGAAGGTTAGATTGAAATAAAAATTGATATATTATTCAAGAATGTAAATATACTATATCGTTATTATCTATACAATTAGAATTACTAATGTTGTTGTTATCTTAAGTACACATATTTTTTACGTCACTAAGACAAATTAGTATTTCCGATAAATTTTTGTTATATGAAATGGCTATAATATAGTATAAAATAGCATTGCAATTTTTTCATTTTATCGAAACAAAATATTTTTAAATATTTACACGTTAATTTATTTATTCAAAACTTTTCTGTTTGTTATTATATATATTATATAGAATTCAAATAATTACATTATATATTTATTTTATTACGATATTATTCGAACAATTATATCATACTATACATATACTATTATGCACTCTGCTGATTGCTACATTAGATATCCAATTAACAAATCTTATTTATATATTATTTCATCAGCTACAGCCAGTCCAAGGAATCAAATTTCACATACGTTTACAATCTTAACAACTAAACGGGACTAAAGATTCTTCAAACATGCAATTCCAGTTCAGACTTTCTCACAATTTCCTTTCTCTGTTTTCCGTTCATTCAGAAATTTCGTCGGTCCATTAGTCCATTCGATCGGTCGCGATATCGACGTTAATTAGAGCGAATTATCTCGGGAATTGCCGGAACGATCGTCTCTGTTTTGACCCATTAAATCGTTGTTAGGCCGCGATATCCGCGATATCTCGCAGTGGGCGGAATAATGGTACTCGTCGGCTATAAAGGGCAGTATAGTCTGTGGTCATAGTACATAACAAATATCAGGGTGAGAAAAGAGAGCACAATAATATCTTTTTTCGATAAATTTCCCAAAATTTTTGAAGTAACCAGCAGATTTTTGACCACATCTCGAGATCATATTTAATTCATCATTTAAATTACAAAAATTGACAAATTGTAAAATCATGAATTTTCATAAAAATTAGCACAAAAACGACGTTTATGATAACGATAGAAAATTCTCTATTTTGAATTTTGCATTTTTGACAAGATATTCGAATTCGACGCGTGAAAAAAATATTAGAATAACGATTTTTAGGAAAATCAAAATGGACGAAATTATGAATCTTGGCCAGCTTTTTCCAGAAGAGGCACCACTGGGCGAAGACCTCTTCTCGTGTGGAGCCAATAGACTCGCACGTGGTGCCTCGCCAATATGTTCGGTTGAAAAAGTATCGATCTGAGACTCGGCCGAGATATTTTCACGGCGGCAGCAGCCTGCTTGGCTGACCTGGAGGAGAGAGATTCGAGGACTTAGGGTTGTTTGGAACTAGGGAACTGGAAGTTGCTTCTTGGAGTGGAGGGGTGTTCGGTACGTGGGACTTTTACGGGATTATGTTTGCCGTGTTGGAAGTTCTCCTTTTGTGTACATTATATAGGGGGTATTTTTTTTTTCTTTTTATGATTTTTTTTTCTATCGTGAGATTGTAAAGAAAGATGATGGAAGGTTTAAGATCTATCAATGGAATTATTGCTGAAATTACACGGCAGATATATATTTTCTTTTCTTAATTTTTTTGAAAAAATTTTTTTAGATATATTTACGACGTTCAGAGGTGAATAATGGTAATGATTATTAAACTTAGAACGTAAATGTATATGTGTCTATATTTCTCTAGAAATTTACGATCTTTTGGATTTTCATAATCAAACACAGTATTTGCAATTAGAGTTTTTTCGATCGTAAAAATTATTAATAAACCTGATCGAATGTCGAAATGTTAAAATATTTGTATTTAGATTATTATCTCGATCGGTTTTTTATTCGATGAAGAAAATAATATCTAATAATAAGATCTATTATAAAAATAATAATAACGGACACGTGTCTTTTTTTAATGCACGATTTTTCACCTAGTTTCTTAGTTAAAAAATTATTTACTTTAATCAATATATCGTGCTACTGAGAAGAAGAAAAAAGAGATTTATCTGTACAGGGTACATCACAAGTTTTATTATTAGATATATTAAACACGTTATAGAGGCCACGTTAGTCGGTGTATGCATGTTTTTGCAGAAAATTTATAGAAAAGAATAATAAAGAAATTGCTCATAAGAATTCTATTTTGGATATAAAGTTTTACATCATTATTATTTTGCTTTTGTATAGAAGTTCTTTTTATTAATTCAGTAGAAGAAAGCAATAAAAGTTGTAACATGGACAAAATTTAATCACGTAAAACGTATATATTTATATTGTATTTCTATTAGTGATTTTGCCCATATGCAAATATATACATTCACGAATACGATGTTTCTAGAGATTACCATCGTAAAATATCTTTTATCCTCTAAATTTATTTTAATTTATTTACGCGTATTGAACCTATAAGTATTTGACCGAATCACTTGAGACACATACATATTTATTTTACGTCGAAAGTCTTATTTAATTTCAGCCTTCGCACGAAAGCGTGACCAACATTCTCAGCAAAATAAAATCTCCAATTTCTAGCAGTGGAGTGAACATATTCGTTTCATGAAAGCGATAGTTTAAAGAGATAGTTTTATGAGAATTGATATTTATAATCGCGTTTATTTTTTGCATATTGAATCAAATTGGTCAATATCAAATTAATTTTGTAATAACTAAAAACTGTTGAAGTTAATCTGAAAAATATCCAATCATATTCAATATAATTTATTGAAAATTAATAAAAACAAGTCGATAATTTTTGACACGTATATTTATATATATTTCACTCTTAATAATAATTATTTAATTGTTTAAGAAGAAGATAGAATGCATGGTGAAAAATTATATGTTGAAAAATTAAATATGAAACACTTCGAGAGAGAAAAAAACAATTTTTCTATTTTTCTTATTCGAATCCATATAATCACGTTAAATTTTTAATATTAAATTTTGTATATCTCCTTTAGTTTTACCGTATTCTTGGCGAATTTAATAAAAAAATCAGTATTTGATGGTTGGTTCAAAAAGGAAATAAAATTCGACTAGCTTCGTCTGGCAAGCGAAATTTAGGATAATGTTATAAATAATTAAAACTGTTCGAGCTAACAAAGTCGAAGCAAAGTTGAGTATAAATTGTATTAATACGTGTTGGAACTTGGCAAGTTTTGCGCCTGGATGAAACTCGAAACTCGACTCGAAGAAGATCGATCGATATATTCTCGTTGTAATGCTATTCTTTAATTCGTGGGGGAAATATTATTGAAATATTTTTTAATTGGATATTTAATTTAAAGCTTGAATGTTAATTCAATTGAACGTAGAAAAAAAAATTGATTAAACATGAATTCAATTTTTTTTTTTTTTTTTTTGATACATTTTTTGATATTTAATCGGAAATTTGGTTAAAAATGTAATTCGACTGAATTTAACAGTTGTGGTCACGACCATTCCATTAGCACGTGTAACATGGTGGATATTTCAGTTATTTCACGGGCGTTTGAAATGAATTTCTAATTTTGATACAGTTTTGGAATTGTATGAAATTGGACGTAAAATATGTACGAGCTCGACAAAATTTCATGTGTTAATTGCATAGTGGTGAGTGCGAAAATATCGTTATATTTCGCAAGCGCGTTTATACTTGAATTAACAAATTATTTTTTTATAAACGGATATGGATTATATTTTATTCAATTTTTTCCCCTCAAACGATTCAACGATGCTCTAATATTTTTAAAGCAGCAACGATCTGTTCTAGAATAATTCCCAAATAAATTTTCTCCTTTTATTCTAAATTCTAAAATTTCCAAATTAGTTTTCAATCATAAATATTTCCAAACTTCTCCTTCCCTTAATTCCAATTTCCAAAATTTTCAAATTAGTTTCTCTAATTTTCTCAAAGCAACTTCTTCTCCAAATAAATATTTCCAAAATTTTCATTCAAACTTTCTCAATTCTCAACCTCCAATCTCTTTTTCTCAACAAACTCCTGCCAAATTTCCAAAACCTTCAAAAATTAATTCTCAAACCGATCATTTTCCTATACAAAATACCTTCCCAAATAAATTTTCTCGAAATTCCCTCGAAAATCCCCGACCTTCCCTTTTCTCAAACTTCCAATTCCCAAAATTTCCAGAAACAAATTTCCTCTTTCCCCGCCTACCTTCTGCTCCCTTCTGCAAAATAACGTATTATTTCGTAGATTCCCGCGCGTTTCTAAGAAATAACAAACGCAGGATCGCTTCCATCAGCTTACC